TTTTTTTTTTTTTTTTTTTTTTTTTTTTTTGTTAAATTTTGGTCAACGATCGCTGCTGATTAATAAAAATTAGTCATTATGACTTATTGTCTTGCATACTTCTTTGCCGGCTGTTCACTTTCCAAAAATTTTTACTTTTTTTGTTTTAATTCTGTAAATTTAGGCAGTTGCAGCCGGAAGTCCAACTTTTGAAATTTCTTCTGACCCTCTGAAGCAGTCACAAATTATTCCGCTGAATGATCGATTTGAACTTTACAGTCATAGTCCGGTTATACCAAAAAAGTTCCCACAAAGACAAGAATTTAGGCGAAAACAGATCAGTTCTAAGATTTTGGTATGTCGGTTTCACCAAAACCATTTTTATACTCCAGATGTGTCTAGTTTTCAAAAAAATTAATGAAAGTATTCCTAAAGCAATTTATTTCTTCCTGATGAAACAAATGTATCGTTTAAATGAAGGCAGTTAATTTTATTAATCAATACTAATGCTATTAAAATTTATATGACAGTCAAAGATGTCATAATGCGTATATCACTGCAGGAAAAAAATTTTGCGATTAAAAGTGTTGTTATTTTTCTGCTGGTTTAGGAAGGGCAAATAAAAATGCTGAAAAAACTGCCACCGTCGAGCGATATTCGACGATTTCAGATGCATGTAGATGGTGAAACCGATTATCTTGGACAATTGGAACAGTCGGTAAGGTATACTCAAACTGTTTAGATAAGTTATGTGCTGATTGCCTCATGCTGTTTCTTTACGTAAACTTTTCTATGATTACAGCCCAAAGAAGACATATCTGTTGCAAATAAGTTTCCGAAAAGTATAAGTTACCCAGAACCGGCTTCAGATTACTTCAAAAGTGCCGTCATGGTTAGTGTTTATGATACTACCAGCCGTAATCTTCTCATCTCTACTTTTAACAATGGCGCGCATTTAAATTCCGTCACAACTCATTGCTTCGATTCGTTGTAAATTATATGATAGGGTAATAGAAAAGAAAAAGACTTTTATGGACCGCTAAATGTTGCAAAACCGATCAATAAAAATTAATTGATTTATTATTTTTAGTCATCGCTCAGCGATGATGAAGTGATTCCAGAAATCACTCCTTTGCTGATTTCGAATAATCAAGATCAACAGAGCTCTGGGTCTCAATACAACCAATTCAAGCAGGATGAGAATTACGATGGTGCTGAAGATGTTAAGAAGGGAACCTGGAAAGTCAGAGATTATTTCCGATCCAAAATTCATCGAGTACCACCACAACAAGTGGTGACAGAGCTGCCGGTAGGTCACCTGTACTTTCAGTATTCCTCTTTTTCTCCCGTCTTTGCTTTTCATCGTTTCGGCTCAGATTATTCACGCATTCCATTCTTTTGGATCTATATTCTAACCTAACAACAGTTTTGAAGAACGACGGTGATGTTGATGTTGATCTAAAAGATTTATTTTTTTCATTGTTAGCCTTTCACACTGTATATCAACATGTCACGTATTATAATTATTCTGACGTAATACGTGAATATTTCAAAACCAGCAAATTTCAAATGGCCTTAGAAAACAGCTGACAACATCACTACTTATTGGCAAGAAAAAAAAGGGGAGAAGAAGGGGAAAAAGAAAGTACACTTGATGAATTTGCACAGTTTTTTTCTAGCAAAAATATTTTAAAATTTGAAATATATTTTTTAAACTTTTTTTTTTGCTGTTTTGCTGTTAAATCGTCTATTACGTTCATTGAACTTTATCATAAACATCTATCGTATTTCGTAATTCTCATCCGATATTGTATGTATTTTTTCCTCTACTTTTTTTTTTTACCACGGCAATAAAAGATTGCCGACGCTGCAGCGAAAGTAATGCAAAAAATTCAAATAAATTTAATAGAATATTATTATGTCTAGTTCAGCGGCAGATTCTTCATTCAGTCATTAGCTTGAGCACAGTGAATATCCAAAATCTGATATGTATATCGAAAGAATATTTTTCTTCTTTTTCCGCTTAGAAAAGCATACTCAGTTGTACAGATACACAGATAATTGAATGCACGTAAACAAATGCTACAGTAAGAAAAAATTGAGTACAAATTTTTTTTTGCTCTCTGCTTTTATCGTTTTTATTATCATTACTATCATTATTACCACTTTACTCGTTTTAGATTACAACACGTAACGTTGTTATATCAGTTAGCCGCCAATTTTGTTCAAATCTTCGATCATTTGCCAGACAATTTAGCATCGGAGATGTTGCGGAATTTGCTAACACAAACTGTGACTACATTCGTAACTATTATTCGGAGTTACGATGTTCGGACATCGAAGAATATGCAAAACGTTGCGTTTTGATAACGCGACGAAGACTGTAGTTGCATTAATGCGTCAGATGGTCGTCAACAACTGGTAACCAATCTATCGGCTTGCTATCACTTCTGTTTTTCTATTACACCTGTCTTTTATGTATAAGCTTTATCAAAACTAAAATTTCAATTCTTCAAAAAGTGATGGAAGCTATGCAAAGTCAGCATATTTTGGCCTCATCTGAAACATCTACGCAATTGTTATCGCCCATTTACGATAGTGCTGTGTTTATTAGCCGATGCACCACAGAAACAGTAAAATAGTAACGAACGAGATATTCGTAATAATTGTTTTGTTTTGTTTTGTTTTGTTTTTTTTTAATTATTATTTTCATTTTTCACAACTATATTTATTGTTGTAAGTGTGGCTGTGCCTATGTGTCTTTCACATTAAGCACTGTTTTTTTTTTCAATAAAAAAGGATGTAATTAAATATAGCTAAGATTTGGTGATATTCTTTTATCAATATTTATTTCGTTTGACGTCTGATTGCTATTGCAATAAAAGTGGTCGAAAGTGAAAGGAAAGAGAGGAAAGAAGGTAAAGGAGGATGGGAATGGGCATTTGATAGGCAGATCGCAAACTGAAGTTTCAATTAAATTTATTCTGTAAGATGATGCAAAAGAAAAAAAAGTTATCTTACCAATAAAGATTACCTCTTTTCTTCAGCTGCTAAAAGTTTTTCTCCAGTTTTTTTCTTTTTTCTTGTAAATATTTCCCAGCTGCTTTTTTTTTACTGAATCAACAGGTACATTTATCAGTAACATTAATTTTATGACAGGAGAAAAATTACAGTTGAAATAAACAAGATAAATATATCAGTTTGATTAGAACGTAGCAACAACTTTAGTGGGCAGCAAAGATGAATCTGAAACAACAAATGATTTTGTTTAGTTCTTCTCTTCTGTTTTTCCATTCACTTTTGTTACAAATCATATTTCAAGTGTAACTAATAAAAGATGCATCTTTTTTCTTGGCTTTTGAAAATTTAACTTTTGAACGCATTTGGAAAGTATAGACACAAGAAAATTTAAACTACAAAACTGGTTACACGTATAAGAACTCTCAAGTACCATCTTCCATCACTATGTAAAACACACTAATCTTTGTAGAATAACAGTAATTATAAATACTGAAAATACTTTGAGAATACCGTTAACACTATTAGCAACAGAAAAATTGCAATAATCAGTCTTCTGAATCATTATTCTTTACTTTGATATCTGAATTCAGTTGACGTTTTTGTTTCTTTTTTCTTGTATTCCTATCATCCACTGACGTTAATTTATTTGTATGCTTCTAATTTTCTATCTTTATTTTTGCTAGAAATTCACAACATTAATTATCCAAAAAAATTTTACTTGAATGTATACATCTATAGTGCAGGTATTGTTATTGCATTGAATCTATACTGCTGGTATCGTTTTTTCTTATTTTCCCATTGTTATTTGATATGAATGATTATTTGTGCAGATTAAGAAAAACAAGAGCTGTACGCTGTTGACAATACAAAATATAGTTTCCAACTGTAATTTTGTATCTTACTTTTTACTTCGTTGCTTACTTAATTGACTACTTCCGTACAGTGTGTCACTTTTTCCCTCCCGTAAGTATTGCTAAATGGTTACTGTTCTGTTCTGTTCTACTTTCTTTCTGCTTTGTTTTCTTAACTTGGTTTATTTCTTATGAAAAAGAAACAAACTGCAAAAAGGAAAGTTGGCAGTTATTTGTCTTATAAATTCAATGTTGTAAATATATGTACTTGTGTATTATTGAAAATCTGCTTTCCTGAGCTCTCAATGATGGTAATAAAAACGGAAAAAAAAATACGCGTTGCAAAAACAAAGTGTAGTGAGAAAAAACGAGGCGAAGAGGTAGTATATTTTGGAAAAACCAAAAGCTTTTTTCAGACTTATTATAATCCTTTTTGCGCTTTTTTGCAGCTTCATAGTTTTTTGCAAAAAAGTTCCTATTACAATCTACAAGCTAAAAAAAAATTAAAATTACAGACTGAATATCACACAAAAGACTGCTAAAGACTGAATATGATGATTGCTGTAACGTGCATTTGAAATAATTCCCTTTTTTTTGCATTTCCTTATATCAACCGGCTAATCTCAGGAGAAGTTTTCAAGAGATCCTCAAAATACAAGACAGGATAGAGAGAAAGAAAAGAAAAAAGATAAAGAAGAA